TGAGGGGCCCAGCTGTGCATCAAAAAGATCAAGACTTCATGAACTGAAATGCCATAGCAGGGGAATACATCGAGCTGCTCAAGATTTATGGTGAAATTGATGGATTTCTCGCTCCAAAAAACTACAAATTGACTTCTTTGTGCAGCGTTCAGCTGAACAAACTCAGATACATGTGTAAAGATACAGCAGAATCCTCATAGGTTCCTGACATGCAGCTTTTTTAACTGTCTCTCACTCTGCCGAAACAACGTATGAAGAAGAAACTACAGAGGAGTCTTGTGGAACGGGTCAAGAATGTGTTCGTATTCCCGCAATGACCCGAGCACTCCCTGTTTGGAGTTGGTTCTGGAGGAATTTGTCTTGGATGGAGAGGTTGTTTTTTTCTTTTCTTGTTTTTTCTTGTTTGACACTCCCCACGGAAAGAAGTCAACCAATAGAAAATAATAAAGTTCGAAACCTGACCTTGATGAAGGAGATGAGGAAAAGAAAACAGGGTCCCTCGGCACATCTGTGCATGGTAGAAAGAAAGGAAGGATAGAGGCAGAGAGTGAAAAACAGACTGTGTGTGTGTTGTCTGTATTCGTACGGATGCCTGCATACATATATATGTGTGTGTGTGTGTGTGTGTGTGTGTGTTGGTGGGCGTGCATGCTTGTGCGTGCAGACAAGCAGTGGAGGACGATTGTTCCTGCGCACTGTGCGAACATCGATCGACAACGAGCGAGTTAGAGCTGGAAGAGGCACGGCATCAAAAAGGAGACACGAGGCTTTGTCCGCCGCTCACCCTGACACAAAGCAGTGGCAATCAAACATGATGAATCAGTAACGCTCTGAATGGAAAACAAAAAATCAAATCCTTCGGATTCAGTTTGCAAACTGACAAACCCTCAACCCAAAGGTCGAAACTTTCATAGTCTTAAATTGACTCCAGTCGCTTTTATGTGCACGCTCATATTCTCTTTGACTTTCCCCTCTTCCTTCACCGTCAAAAAAAATCACTGTCACATTAAGCACGTAAATTCATGCAATTACCTGCGATCACTAATGATGCCCACGCCAAGCCATCTGCTAACTTTTGTTCTCCCTCTTTTCTCATAACTCCCTCATTTTCTAGAAAAGGGCCGGGGCTTCATATACAGCAGTGCTGATGATGTCTGCGTGTGCTCTGGCTACAACACAAGGGGGAGTGCTAATGACTGTAGTTAGCATCCCTCAAGAGGCTGAAGCACTTTGCCAATATTTGCCCTAACCTTAGATGATTGCATTTACTTTACACTTAGGTATTTAGCGGATGCCCTCATCCACTGCGACCTCGAACGAGTGAGCAAACAGGGGCTCAGCGTCTTCCACAAGGACACTAACAGGAAGCATATAGCTGTGTTTTTTGTTGTTGCCTGGGATTGAACGACAGAACCTACACCCATTACAGCCTCTCGGACCACAAGGCCACCCTGCTGCCTCCCTAACTGCAGATTGCATCTCCTCATAGCCTCGGAGTACAAACTGTAAGAAGCTCGGAATTTTAAAAAACTGCGAGAGAGATTCAGAGGTTGCTTTGAGATTGAAAAACAATATGTTGAACAAAACATTCACATGTGCAGCTGCCTTTCCATCTGCACACACACTCACACACACTCACATACACACCAGTTCGGCTGATCTCACTAAAGATAGCGAGCAGCAGCAGAGCATGTTGTTTCTCTTGGATGGAGAGCGATTCATGAATTGACCTTGACTCTGCTCCTCCAACAAATCTCCTTTAAAGCTCCAGTGTACTTTGCAATAGCACCCTCTCAAACCGTGGAAAAAGGGAGAATTAACAACATATGCGAGCTGAGCTGAAACTAAAATTGATGGGGAGTATTTTGCCAAGTACTTCAGGTCACTGTGCTAATTGGGAAATATTTTACATCATGTTTTATGATACATGTTTTTTTTTGTGGTATGTGAGATTCTGTTTTGTTTCATTAATTGTGCTGTTTTTCTTCTCAAGGTGGATTTGATTTGAAGCCTCGTTCCCACACAGTTTCATTTTGTGTCTGTAAAGTATTAAAGTACGTGAGGAAATGTATCTTTGCACAGATGGATAAACACAGCACTGCAGAAAAGAGAAAAGTGTTTTTCACCATCCAATCTCATGGAATATGTGCACGGAGCATCCATCCATCCATTTCCTGTACCCACTTATCCTCTTAAAGTTTTGGGTACACCCAGGACAGATTGCCAGACTATCACAGGGCTGACACACTGAGACACACTCACATTCACACCTGTGGACAACTCAAAGTCACAAGTTAACCAAACCTACATGTCTGTGGACTGTGGGAGAAAGCCAGAAACCCACGCTAACCCATTCTAACTCCAGAAGGGCCCCAGCAGGCCAGCGGGCTTAAACCTGAACCCTCTTGCTGTGAGGCGACAGTGCTAACCACTTTAACACTTGTCACCGATTCGATTTGAGCTGCCTGAATTCAACGAAATAGCCTGTTAGCTAATTGTTTTTATGCCGCTTAAATTAAATGAAATAGCCCATTAGCTCATTTGTTTTTGAGCTAGCCTACTTGAATTCAACGACATAGACTGTTAGCTGAATCATTTTTGAGCTGTCTGAATCCAGTGAAATAGCCTGTTAGCTAATTCAATTTTAGCAGCTTGAATTCAATGAAATAGCTTGTTAGCTAATTTGTTTTTATGCTGCTCAAATTCAACAAAAAATAGCTTGTTAGCTAATTTGTTTTATGCAAACTGAATTGAACAAAATAGCCTGCTAGCTACTTTGTTTTTATGTTGCTTGAACTGAATGAAATAGCCTGTTATCTAATTAATTTTTAGCTGCCTGATTTCAATCAAGTAGCCTGTTAGCCAATTAATTTGCTAGCTAAGTCATTTTTATACTGTTTGAATTGAATGAAATAGCCTGTTAGCTCATTTGTTTTTGAGCTGCTTGAGTTGAACGAAATAGCCTGTTAGCTAATTCATTTTATGCTGCTTAAATTAAATGAAATAGCCTATTAGCTCATTTGTTTTTGAGCTGCTTTAATTTTATGATATAGTTAGCTTAATATTTTTTGAGCTGCCTGAATTCAATGAAATAGCCTGTTAGCTAATTCATTTTTATGCTAACTTCCTGTTGCGCACAATGTACACAGCCTACCTGAAAAGTTTTTCAACGTACTAAAGGCAAATTCCAAGCCCCCCCCCCCCCAAAAAAAATGAAAAAGGGAGTCTGTAAAGACATCACGGAGGTTACCATGGAAATGAATGGACTTCCGGTTGACACGCATATGTACACAGGCCTATGTAGAAATGAGTTGACAAACTAAGCATACCCTAAATTTGGTGCAAACGTTAGCTGTCACAGCTAACTCTCTTCCATGACCAACATATAACATTACGTTAGCAGCTGCTGGGCGATCTCAAGCCATCTTTTGTCCTGTATTTAGTTGTTTGGGTACTTGTCGCAGTATGTCTGACAGTGTTGGGTGTTGAGAGACCAAACTGAGGTGTGACAGTTGGGTCCCACTTTTCATCTAACTGGGTTATTTTAGCTGTCGGCTGTCCCTTGTCCTATTGCTTTTAAACAGGGACCAAACTGAAATGAGTCTTTTAATTGGGTCTAATTTGGCCACTTTAATGGGCGCCTATTGTCTGAAACAAAGGAGATTTTAAGTATCCACAAGGTAGCCATATCAGCTCACATTAAAGTGGCTCAAATCCCTTTTAATCTGCATTAAGGCCAACATCTGAGACGGCTCACTGTGGGGCACCTGTGTAACTGCCTGTTTGATGTGCACATCTGTCTGCTTTCTATCTCGGGGTCATTGCAACCCTACCTTTGGATATCATACCCTCCCATATGTCCCCTAAAGGATGCCCAGGCTTCAATGAGTGGATACAGCAGAATATTATATCGACTGCGCTGATCTAAAATAAGTTAAGACATCATCTCTGGAACAACTCCATCTTTAAAAAAATAAATAAATGAAAAAGAGAGGATGTGAATCTTTAAGCCATTTGAATATCTTTATCCTAAGCTGCAGCGGGGAAGCCTCTGCACTTAGGCTTAGCACTCTCAAGACAGCTCCTCCTTGTTAAGCATCGCCTCAGACTCCTCGACTATGAATGGGACCATTACCCCCATCTCTCGCTGCACACCCAGATACACACACCCACACATATTTTGGTCTTGGTAGGAAACTAGCTCAGGGTAGCTGCAAGAAGGTTCTGCAAGGGAAGATACAGTACTGTACCCAGGGACTGCCTTTACAATAGGCTCCTTTTTTCCACTGCTCCCACTCACTCTCTCTCTCTAGGCTGCAGTCTTTTTACATTACAACCTACAGAACATCATCTCTGTCTCCCAATTGTGGAAAAATAAACTCCTTCGTAAGGGCCCCAAGCCAGCACACATTGCATATCAGCAGAGCAGATATCTGTATGGCTTCCAAACAACTCAAGTTGGGTATTAACCCCCTATTGTTACTCCTCCTTTACTTCAACTCAAAGACATCTGATACAAAAAACCTATTCTCAGTCAAGTTGAAACCCAGATGACAAATGAAATTCAACAGGAACTGTAAAGAAAGGAGCTGCAAACTGAAAGGAAAAAGACAGCCTGAGAGGTGTTGGTCTGAAAGCATATGTCTGTACATATATTCCCTGCTGTCGCGCCTTTGATCAAATAAGCCCGCTGTTTCTGGAACACAACCATAGATTTTATACTCGTCTCCACGTGTGTTATGGAAGGGCTTTAGCTTTAATGAAAGTTGCAACAGCTTCTGCATCACAGCCTCGACACCACATCACACCTGGCACACTACAAAAACGAACCAAAAGCCAAAAAAGAACTCGATGGCAAATTTTACTCACATGTTTTTTGTATGTTTCTGCCTACCGTCGGGCGTGCTACTGTACTGTACGTGAATGCTCTGGGCAGTTATGTGCGTGTGTGTTTCCTGTATCTTAACGCTTTCTTAATCTCCTTTAGTGTTTGCCCCTACCATTTTCCATGTGCTCTGCCTCACCGACACTGCCATCCGGCGTTGTCCTCTCGTAGCTGTCCTCAGGCAGGGGAAGGGCGCCCAGCCGGGGGCCTGACGAACTCTTGCTGCTGGGCGTCTCCGACTCGTCCAGGCCGCTGTCGTAGCAGCTCTGCAGCGATCCCTGCTGGTGAGGGTCCTGGGGCTGGCTCACCACAGAGAAGGTCACTCGGCGAAACGGCTACAAGAGAAACCAAACGGCCGGGGGTCACTATAAAAGGGACTGTTTTAACTTTTTGTCTTTTTATTGTTTGACGACAGCTGGGGAGTTGGATCCTCTGGAATTTTGGAAAGGGATTTTGGGTCAGGATGGTGGAGAAATAGGTTGGGAAAGAAGGGGGCAGGGGTAAGGAGACTATGCTTTCATTGGAGGAGTCGTACAAGTGTGCTTGCTAGATTTTAAGGACACAACTACTACACCTGTGACGTCATTTTACTGACCCCAAAAAAGAAGACACACAGCTCAATCTGCTCTAGCACAATAGCACACAAAAACCCTTTTGTCACTACAAACAAGGTCATACCTTTCATTCACCCTGAAAACTATCAATAGGAAGACATTAGAATAGGGACATGGAGGAAGCTGTACAAAGGGAGTCTTTCACAAGCTCGCTCGAGGCCCAGGGGACCAAGACGACATGGCAACTGGCTATACCTGTATGTTAAAGGAATACTTTACCCCCTAAATGACCATTTGTATATCCATTACTCAACCCATGTTAGGCTGAAATTGTAAAGAAAACTTTGAACGAAGAATCCAGAAACTGAGAAAATCCTTGAGAAATTGAAAATCATAGGGGCAACCGACTCGTGCCACATAATCCAAGTCTTTACTCAGTGCTTCCCACACAGACGGCCTTCTCTGACAGGAATCTGAACATAAAAGTTTTCTATGCTTCCTTCAAAGCCAGACTCCATTAACATAAACAATGATTTTACCTTGCTGAACACAGGAGCTGATGGTCTACCTTGATCAGTTAGATTGTTTTTGTTATTATGTGAGTTCACTGTTTTAAAGTTGTGGTTCTCAACCTTTTTTATGTCAAGAACCCCTAAATTGATACAAATTAGGTGAAGGAACCTCATTTGGGAAGATTTTGGTTGTTAGCTATGATTAAGACCAAAATTTTATAGTTCTCAACAACAGCTTAGAAGGTAACCGTGGAGGAAGAGAAAACTCTCACTCATTCATTTCATTCAACAGTAAATGGAATAGTACAAAAAATATTTATATTTCCCAATGTACCCCCTGGAACCCCCTTAGACCCCCCTGCACTTCTGCACTCTAGGCTCCTGGCATTTTTGCTGGAGTGCTCTTAACTCCTCGAGTTGAAAAACTTCAACTCAGAGTGGAAAAGCACCCCGTGTCATCTCCGCTTTTTCCTATTGTCCAAACGGATGATTTGAGGGTCGGTCCTTCTGTGGTGGTCACGACAACAAGTTTACAGTTGGTAAACAATGGAGGAGAAACTGGTGGTGCTCAGTCGCGCGGCAGGACCACTGGACTCCCTGTAGTTAGTGTACATTCTTGTTATGCTCAGCCTGATAGACAGCAGGTTATGAAACTGCCCCTGAGTCATCCTAAAATATGCCTGGAAACGACCATTATCGAGGAGAAGCTCCTGGACCAACTGGTGGTACTCCCCATGACCCTCCTCTTTCTTAGGGTCTCATGTACCCACACAGATCTCTGTTTCCTTGCACCCAACAAACTTTTACCTGACAGCCTCTCACCCTCAACCAGAGCTACAGCAAGTACCCTCTGCCTCAACGTTTTAGGAACTAGATACTAATTACTGTCAAATAAATAAACCGCAGATTGATTACAAGGGGTAGACTAGCAGCTCTGGTGTTCAACGAGGTAAAACTACTGTTTTTTTGTCAGTGGAGTCTGGCTTTAAACGTGGACCCCAATGACTTCAATTCATTCGGTATTTTCTCAGTTTTTGGATTCGTCGTTTGTCGTTGAGGCATGCGCGAAAAACTAATTTTTCCTCATGAATTCAACATAAAACAGGCTGATTAACAGATATATAAATAATCATTTCAGGGGGTGATGTGTCCTTTAAATACAGTTAAGGAGGGGAGGATGTACCAGCCTTAATCACTTGTCTATTTGCCCACTAGAAAAAGAACAAGGTAAAAAAGTGTTTGCTTCGAACACGAGTACATACAAACAACATGTGAGCACACAAAAGCTTTAGCTCGCGGGTCCACGCTGTCAATAAATGCAGCCTGCCTCCAACGCACTATTGAACAGTGTCTTGAGTTAAGCAGTAACACAGCACGTCAGTAAAGCGGAGGCCTCTTGCTTGCTGTCTCAGTCCGTTTCCCTTCCTCCCTCCTGCATCTCTCAATCCCTGTCTGAGCGTCGCACAAAGGTAATGGCAAAAGAGAGAGGGAGAGGAGGATGAAAGAGGGAGAATGAGCGTGAGGCGAGGAATGAAAGATCAGGCTTGGTCATTAGGAGAATAAATGGCATTACAAATGGCTAATGCCATTCATTAATTAGATACAAACACAGTGAGAGCTCGCCTGTGTTGCTTCTCCTCCAGCCTCTTGCTGGACCTCATCACTTGTTCTCCGGCTCCTCTGCTTCTTCCCCTCCCTCCTTCTATCCTTCCATCATGAGAATATTAAGCAGGACAGAGGCACATTACTCAATCGTCTCCTCCCTCCATCTCCATCCGTTCGCTCCCTGATTGCCTCACCTGAGGATGCAAAATCTGTGCATCTATCCGTCCCCCATACGAGAGGCGGATTCCAAAACATGTCGAGCTCTTATCGTGACGACAGCGTGAGAGTGCGTCTTTAGAAAAAGGGTGACAAACGAAAACACACACGCAGATACATAACGTACGTTCTCAGCAGGTGTTGACAGGTCGCCATACGACGGTGAGCCTCTTTGTTATTTTGTCAACCTCAGCCACTTACTGTAAGCACGTCTGAATCTCTGCCAGGCACATACCGTGAAAGATACTCTTTTTTTGATAATGAAATTTCCCACAAGCCACTGGGAAAAAAAATGGGCTTCCTTTTGAGCTGCGTGTGTGTGTGCCTAGTGTGGAAATTTGCATTTATTTATATATTTCCGCCCCGGTTCTTTTTCTCTCTGGCTGGCTGGCTAGCACAGCAATCTTGGCAATAAATCATGTTTCCATGTAATTACAATCAACACTCAACAAATGAATTGGTATAAATATTCATGCAAATTTCACTTGGATAGTCAAACATTTGTTGCATAATTAAAACCGGGGGCCCAGAAGGAGAACTGCTCTCTATAAGTGTAATAACACTTGAAGAGATGCTAAGATATTAAACCATGTTTTTTTTGTTTTGTTTTGTTTGTTTGTTTGCTTTTACTCTCCGAAAAACACTTGTTTGGTGTGAGGTGTGTGTTAACAAGTCCCGCAGCTTGTGTGTGGTCGAAGAAAAGGAAAGAAAAAAAGAAGAAGTACTTTGTCTGGATCAGATTTAGTGGAGTGCCACACTCCTTGGGAAACACGGTTTTCTAATGATACAAATTAAACGACTGTTGCCTAATGAATTGCTGGCGAGACCGTCGCAAAGAAAAGAAACACTCGAGCAGGCGCGCGCCGAGGGAAAATTGAGTTTGGGAGAGAGAAAAGAAGCTGACGGGGAAGGGAGAAGAAAAAAGTTAAATGAACAAATAGATTTTATTCACCTGAATTTCCCCTTATTTTCACTGGAGGGAGAGCGAGATAGGAGAGAGAGGAGGAGGAGGGAGGAGAAAAAAAGCTAATTTGTTTGCAGACCAGAAATGGAGTTCATGCGGAGATCGCCGGAGGCTTTGGATTAGAATCTGCAGCAACCACCGTCTGCACAGCGACCTTCGCTCCCTTCATTCTGTGTCTTTTAAATAAATGAATAAAATAAAAAGCAATTCTTCCTTAGTCATTTTTCCGTTTATATTTGTGCGTGCGTGCCTAGGTGTGTGTCTCACACGTAGCCGAGGAAGAATAGTCCAACATGCCGTGTGAAATCACATACGGCTTTCTGCGTGTCGCTACCTCTTTCAAGTCGTCATAGGGAGCAGTTTTTTGGGGGCCAAACCACAGGGAAAAATTAACAATTATCTGCCATGCACACGCACGCAATCACAGCTAACGGCGATGGCGAGGGGAATAAAAGCAGGCTGTGGGTGTTACAGTGAAAGCTGGCCCACGCTGTCACATGGCACCGCGCTGACCCCCTCGCACCAGATACTGGTCATTTTCAGACCCGGTGAGTTTGTTCAGCCTCACTGAGTACATGCCCTCTGATGCCGGTCCCGCTACTTCCTACCCTGACCTCCCTGGCCTCGTGGTCCACTCAGCTGCCAATCAATCTAGCAGCGCGTGCTCACACACACAAACACACTCAAGTGTCACGACCTTGGTACCATTTAATTTTAAAGGGGAGCCACATTATTTCTAAAGAAACTGCATTTTATTGACTGATGGAAGTCCTGGATTCAGAGATCATAAAAAAACGCATATATACCCAAGCATGAAGTCGCTAACCCTCATTCTGTGTCCTGTCAGAGTGGCCGAGCTTCCATTGTGTGGCTTTCATTTCAAGTTAGCACTTTATCTTTACCAGATGCTGGGACCCCTCTTTCGGAGGGCCTCTTTAGGGGTGCGCCTGTGATTGAAAGCCAGCTGCGACAGCCACGGGTGATTGAGCAAATCCGTCATCCCAAAAAATGAACAATGCAAACAAGCCACAGGTTTACTGGGAGCTCTGGCCGAGGCTTGGCCCGGCCTATTTCCTGGATGCTAAAGGGGAAACACATGGGGGCTTGCCTGACTCGAGCGGAGCTGGAGCCAATAAAAACAGGACCTTGCCACTGGTGTCAATAATGTGTGGCCTCTTGGATTTGACCGCCCCTGCTGTCAGCAGCAATCTGTTCTAGCCTTACTGCTTTTATCTCCCAGCAAACCTTTGCAAATATTGTTTCCAGGTAGAGCACTCTGCCTTTGCATGAAGCCTCAGTGTTGTGAAGATCAATGACACTCGTCAAGGCTGTGCAGTAGCTATAACATCTGTGTTTTCTAAAAAGTTCAGATGCCTCATGTGGTAGATAACACACACAGCTCAGTCACCAGAGGAAAGTCAGCATTGTACATTTCTGTAAACCACAGATACGTAACATTTGTACATCTCATACATTTGTACGAA